GTTATCCATTACAATATCTGCTCCACAATAAGCAGTTGAAGCATTCATTCTTTATGTCTGTTAGCCTCATATTCATATTTTTTGAAATTTGGATAATAAATCGACCTCCCGGAAGAATGCCCCAACAAGTATTGCCCTAGGCATCATCTGCAGCGTATAAGACTGCCCCCTATTTCGATCATAGGCGGATCCAGGACGGACTGCTCCTGAAAGAGGGGGGGGGGGAACCCCTTGCCACCCTGGAACTGTGCAAAAACTAGGAATAGAGTTGTAACACACTGCTACTTAGAGTTACCTGAGTTTTATTTATGAACAGACCCGGGTTTTTGCAGCACTGGTGCCTGTGTCGCTGGAAGAGGGAGGGGGGCCCATCGCTCCCCTCTCCCCTCCCTCTCTAGATCCGCCTACGATTTCGAGTTTGAGAATTCGTGTCGTGCACGACAATGCTGCTGCTGCATCGATAGCATTAGTAGAAGCTGGTATAAATTTAGTTCTCGGTTTTTCGCGAAAATCCACAGCATCATCGTGCTACTGTGCCTCAGTTAACATCTCCAGCAAAGGCTTTGGTAGCTTTTCCGGGCCTGTGATGGTACCACAAATAATGCACCCCGCGAAGAAAGTTGTAGAGGAAAAAAACCCCCTTCACATATTTTACGGCTTGCTAGGGACAAGAAACGCGAAAAAAAAATGAAGAAAATTAATGAAAACCTGTTGTAAGAATGCCATTTTTTAATCGAATTTATGTGGTACTATTTCGCCGATACGTTGATGCCAATTTCGTGCCCTGAAAATATCATTTTAGTGCAAAGATGATTTTATGGAAGTAAAAATCGACAGACAATAAGTAAAGTTCACGTTTCCAAGGCATTCTAAGTAATCCCACTTTTCACCTTTTATCCTTCCATTAATGTTCCGATCACTTTTTTTATCCCTTTATCTGGCGATTCCTTCTTCCCTATTTCACTTAACCGCTCCACTTTCATCTCCAAATCCTCCCTTCCTACTTTAAAAGCCCCTTCCCCTCCACCGAAACTTCATTGCAACCGTCGTGCTGACGAGGTCCAGTCGCACTGCTGAGCCGCTAAGAGACGTATATGACTTAATGGACCGAAACGCAAATCAACACCTAGACAGGGCCGGACTGGAACCAGTCCTAATGGTTGCCACCAACTTTACCCGCTCGCCCAGTCCCAAGCA